GATCTTTACTAAATTTATTTTGTACTGGAGAGGAACGAAGCTGTGAAAATGTGTGTGTATATTGTCATGTCCATGTATATTATAGATTATACGAGACAATTTTACGCTAGCAGTATCGTCTTGGATACAATTTTGGAAATGGACTACCACGGTAATCTTACTACTTAGCTAATCAACACTGTTCGACACTGATGAAGAAAGTACGACTTCATGATGACGATAGAATTCATGCTCTGCTAACATTTCACCTTTGTAATCAGCCTAAATCAGATAAAATTGTTTCACCCAGTTATACATTAATCAAATGCCGTTGATATAGTCCCTCTAGGTGAAGATGTTGACAAAATGTAGTTTTCTGAACACCCTGACCAGTACAGTGGGTCACACTTTTCGATCTTGTTTTGAATGGAAAGTGCTCCACATCTTTGCTAACAGGAACTGATGTGCCTCAAGGGATTGTACTCCCTCCATTTCTCTTTTCTTTCTTTTTGAATGGCCTTCCATTTTCTTCCAAAGCTAACTTCACTAAATATGCCAATGATTTAACCACTTCTATCCCAGTGATTTCTGCATTGGAGTTCTCTTATATGAAGAAACTCTTATCAGATTTCACTTTATTAGTCTTAAAATGAGTCCATCTAAATGTCATACTGTTTGTTGATTTTAGTTTCAAATGCAAACAAGACTTGCGTCCACCAATTCCATCTCATGATTCTTGTAATATTGACAGCAATGTGATAGGGAATAAGTCGAATATCTCTTATCTCGACATCAGTCTGTCTTCTAATCTCAATTTATCGAAAGCCCACATGGAAAGGACAATACTTGCATTTTAATAGCTTTTGTCCACATAGCTTTAAACGTGGTCTAGTCAAGACTCTGTACTATAGAGCGAGGAGAATATGCTCTACAGAGAAACTAGAGGAGGAGTTTGAGTTCCTTGAAAAGATATTGAAGAGAAATGGGTATGCTCAAAGGTTCATCAACAAGTATGGAAGATCTGAAGTCACAAAAGTAAAACAAATCACAGTGGAAAAAAAGCCAGTCTACCTTCAGCTTGATTATAAAGGTGAAAATATTGCAGCGATGATCAACAGAAGGCTGAGTACATCACTAGCTATAGCGTATCCTGCAGCTAAGCTCGTCCCCGTCTATCGAACAACTTGCTCTTTGGTGCAATCTAAAATCGATAGATATCCTTCTCATGTTACCTCCAACTGTGTATATAAATTTACATGTATCTGCGGGAGCAGTTACATTGGAAGGACAGAAAGAAGGGCATATCTACAATTTTCTGATCATGTACCAAAAAGCTTACGTCTAAAGGGAACAAATGCTTTAAACAGTGCCATCACCAGGCATCTTCTCGACACGGGTCATGAGATGGACGTTGAAAAGTCGTTCAAAATTATCAATAAGCAAAATAGCTCAATTCTCCTCAAGTTTGCTGAAGCCATTTCCATCAAGCGCATGAAACCTGATTTATGCGTCCAGAAAGAAGTGGTTATCAGCCTTTCTTTGCCCTGGTAACTGGATAATTTCACCTCTCTTTCCTCTGAATGTGAAATGCTAAAAGTTTCCATTGTGTTTGATTATTATTGTTGTTCGGAATAGTGGTTAATATTGTATATTTATATATGTATATATTTTTAGTGTATGAGTATATTCGTCGATTGATTTCTGTTTAAACTGAACTCTGTGCCAGTATGTTAAAATTGTTATTGTAGATATATTTAATAATGTCTTTGCCATGTAAGCAGCTGACGAGAAGGCAACGAAATAAAAGATGGTACCATTTTATTCTGCTAAAACTGTAGTTTTTGCTTTGTTCAAATAATCTCTGTTAGTCGTCTCATATCCTAATGATTTCTAAGGAGATTTTTCGTTTGTCTTATAACATCAAGAAGTTGAGACTTCCCGTTTGCACAACTTAACCTCTTCTCCAACAATTTATTAATTAATGAATTCTGTCCATTTTCCTTCATCATTTGCCATTATTATTCCCTGGATTTCCCAAAGTAAGATTTTGTTATATTACGTAGAACAGTGAAGGCTATCAGCAGTCATGGTTAGTGGTGTACCTCTGCCTCAGATGACTGACATTACTGTCAATAGGGACTTGAATTCTTGCGAGCATTTGGCTAAAGTTATCTAGCCTGATACTGGACATCTTCTACGGGGGTGTAACCAGAAGAAACTTTATAAGAATTTATACTCACACAGCTATTGAATATAAAAATTCTACCATAGCGGCATATTTAGCAGTAGGCTTTGCGTGAAGAGAGAGTCAGGTGTCGGAAAAGAACTTATAAACCTTTCAACTCATTAATTGAACTGCAAAGTGTAGGCAAAGATTATCATTATTACATGTATTATCTATGATACTATCTACTTATACTTCATTATGTTTTCACAAACCTTCAGGTTTTTGTGGTTTTATCATTATTTATTTAATTTTATGTATGTACTTATTTATCAAAGGAGCTAAATTGTCGTACTGTATATAAAAACGCTGGAAATTCTACTCTGAAAAATCACTACTGTCTGGAATAAAGTGATTATTACCACTATTATTTAGCATTACGTAACCTGGTTATTTGTTTTCTTCAACTTTTATCTACTATGTGTAATTAAGGATTTCATAGTATAATTATCAAAAATAATAATTTATTTATTTTATTTTTGATTACAGCGTGATTCCACACCGTATTTTTGGTACAAGTGTGGGATTTTCAACGTGGATATCGGTAGCCCAAAATTCGCAGGCCAACCATAGATATCAGGTGTGCGTCGGCGTGGGCTCGAACCCCGGACCATGTGCATGGTCGGCGAGAGTCCTAACCACTGTGCCACCGACGCATTTACGCTAGAAAGAATAATTAAACAAAGAAAAGTGTGGATTCATTGGATCTGGGAGGTCAGAAAGAGGGAATACATTTGTGATATTGTGAATAATTTTGACGTGTATCACTGGCAGTCTCTAGTCAATGATTCTCAGTGTCTCCAGGATTCCAGTCTGAGAGGAAGTTCACGCCTCTACATGCAGCTCAAAGCAATAGTCAAAGACTTTATGAATTAAAATGACAACTCATAGCAACTATATCACAACCTAATCCTATATCAGATAACACTGCTCGGCATGAAAGATGTTAGCATGGCATATGCAGCATATTCCCCAGCTTTCTTAACCGATACACAGTAAAATTTCGTTCAAACCTGTTCCCTCAGTCTAGTTAGAAGGCTTTTCCTAAAGTGGCTATTGTTTTAATACTACAGATAACTGTCAATTAGCGTAGTCTTAAATCTAGTAAGTCCATTGTCTGACGATGGGATCATCACTTTGGCTTGTAGAAGAGAGTTTCCAAACTGCACATTTGCATCGAGTTGTTTGATCTTATAGCCATGGCCAAAACATCTAAGGACAGGCTGCCTAGTTGTGTCATTTCTCTGCGGATTTATAAATTTAGCTGCACCTGAGGAGAAAGCTATATAGAGCGAACAACTAGATAATTTAATAAAACGTATTAACTAGCATCTTCCTTCATCGCTCAGAAAAGGCTAAATAAAATCTCTACAAAGTTCTATTTCAGTTAGTTTGGTCTAGCATAACTAGATACTCACACGAATCCTCATGGTAAGTTGATATCCTCCAAGATTCATCGGGAAAACACGAAAGTAAAGCAAAAACTCAAAAGAACTTAGATATTGCCGAATAAACGTTGAATTTAAAGTTGATTTTTTTCCTTCACGTTCCCCCAGTGGAACATAGGGCTTCAAGCTAGTGGCTTGAAGTTTCTGTAGCAGCGTTTATTTTACGGGATGGGGTTGCTAGCCTCATGCCTAACCTTTCCTCTTTACCAGCATTATTTCTGGCTCAGAGAGGTAAAGGAGTGCGTCGTTGGCCGGGGATCGAGCCCCGCACCATATGCATTGGTCGGCGAGCATCCTAACCGCCATACCACCGTGGCTTATCCAGATCACTGAGAAAAGCCTTCTTTGCGGATGAGCTACGGATCAATTTCCATAGCAGACAAATGATCAATAGATATTTAAAGGATAAACTGCCGTTCTGGGCCATTTTAGTGTGTATTTATAGATTCACCTGCTCCTATAGAGCTAGTTATATTGATCGCATAAAGCGCACAATTTCCAAGCGCATCTCTGAACAATTATCTGGCATGGTTAGAAAAAGGACAATGCAAAACAGTTACCAGCTTAATTCTTGAGCACCTCAGTGAGTGGCTCAAACCTATATCAGCTACCAGTGCTTGACAAAGAAGATGATAGCATACGTAAAATATCTCCAAACCTTCTCAATCCATGCATAACAAACTTTGATAATATTAGATGGTTGGAAGTAATTGGTCGCATAAAGCCTTGTCTGACCTAGGTTTCGTACTAGTTGGCACTCATCAGCAAGGCAAGTCTAGAACCTTGAAGGGACTCATGTCTCTTGTGAGATTCGGACCCGCGTCACCTGCGGTCTGACTGATAGAATTTATTCTGCACTAAACAAAGGACTAGACACATAACACTAATTACAAGTGTCCAAAGTATCCACTACAGTCCTACAGGAGGTCAATCAAGAGCCAGCCAGAATAGCTCAGTGGTAGCGTCTCTGATTACAGCTCTCACTGGGTGACACGGGTTCGAATCTCAGAAGGAATATGAGTTCCTTCAAGGTTCCACATACACCTTGCTGACCAGTGCCAACTAGCACGAAACCTAGTTCGGGCAAGTCTTCCTGCTTATAGTGTCCAACCATCTAATATCATCAATGTTCACCGTGATGGCGAGCTACCTAGAATGGTGACCACATTGCAAACCTGGCTGACTGATAGAATTCAGTCTGCACTAAAGAGAGGACTAGACACATCACACTAGCTACTAGTGTCCAATCAAAAATAACAAACTTTTATCCAACGATATTCATACACTTTTCAAGTTCTTTCACAAAAACGCATAACTCATGTGTAGTAAGAAGCAAAAAAGAAAATAAATCAATGAAATAAATGTCAGTTTTATTATTTATTTGCTAACAAAATAATGGCATTCTGTACTATGTCATCTTAAGTTATCTTTTAATATACTCACATGAAAATAAGTGAGAGAAATAAAGTCAGTAGTTTTAAAGGCAAAAGAAAGCGAAAATATTATTCTGTTTGTAAATTAATAATAAAAAATAAGCTTAATCTAAAGCTGATATTCATCATCTGAACGGAAAAGCAAAAGAAATAATAAATTAAAATATCACAGAAATAAAATAAGAAAGACATAAATCATCTTTGGCGCTATTTTTTTAAATGATCGAGGTCATGATAAGTGATATAAATGACTTTGTTTAAATTAATCAAAAAGTGTTTAACTGTGAAATTTAAAAAAATGGGTAATTAGTTATTCTCTACTTCTTTTTTAGGAAAGATATTTTTGAGCTAAATATTTTGCTTTTGTATATTCTCCATAACTTGAATATGGATGAGCGCATACTTCTAAATCACGTGTTGCATTACCAAAGTTTTGTCCAATTTGAAATTTATAACCTATTCACATCAAAGCAGAAATTAAAACAAATCATAAGAATTAAATTGAATCGAATTATATCGCCTCTAAGTGACTGGCCGACTGGTTTTAACATAGAAATTCGCATAGATGTGCGGCAGTTCGAGTTGTCACACTCCCTTCATGTACCACACAAACCAAAAGAAAAGAGTAGAGGCACATTTAAAAGAGAGACAATAAATAGAAGTGTGAGTGAGGAAACAAGAACAGTAATATGGAGGAACAATAGAGTTTTATGGGATATGACAAATCACAACAAAGAGTGAATGCATTTGCGCCATCTTTGAGAACGATTGTGAATCATATAACCAATTGTCTTCATCCTTCATTGGTTTTTACCACCCCGAGACCCCAATTATAGAGACAGTCTACACCTTCCTAAACTAACTGTTATGGATTTTATTGGCTGATGAAGCCGTGTTGGTTTTGGTTTGACCAGCACTAGCTCTTTTCCAACCTGACCCATCCTATATCAGCTAACATTGCTCGTTGAGGAAGGCGATGGCTAGGCGTGCGCAACATATGTCCCAACCATCTCAATCGATGCAGCTGCTTCACAACCTCGTCGATTGGTTTCCCCTCCTTACCTACTACTCGACCGAAGCCTAACATCAACATTACTCATCTCATTATGCCACATAACATGAGAGATAGAACACAGACACCTAGGATGAAAGACGGCTAGCGAACGTTTACATGTCTTCCACTTTCAACGGCTGCCACGTCTCTCTGACAGTCGTGAGGGAAGATTAAATGAACTGCTGCGCAGTGCAGACATCATTTGAGTGATACCCCCCTAGATACTACGTCTACGCCAGAGATAATACAGATTGACAAATGCCACACTTGTCTTCTGTATTCGTGGTAAGATTTCGTCAGCGATCAACTCGCTGGAGCTGCTAATGCAACTCCCTAAATAAATGAAGTGGTCGACAAGCTCAGCCACCATTCCACCCCCTATCTTTAAGCTTGGAGGCGATGTAGTTCACTACTCTAACATCATCTTACATTTGAGAGGAGCGAATCGCATGTCAAACATCCGAAGATTGCTGCTGCTCGAGGTGTTCAGAAGAGTCAACTACATTTTGTCAGCATCTTCATCTTGGAGAGAAGACCATGTCAATGAAATTATTATTCCCTGATGGTAGAAAGTCAATCCTTAATTAGGGTTAGACCCATTAGTACAACTATGATGAAGTTAAACAGGAATTGGAACAGTGAACATTACTGACGGACACCACTGGTTGTCACCATTTCAGATGACAATTGTACGTAGGCTCTCCCTGGCTAGCTCCATGAGTTCTAGTAGAATGTCTTCATCAGCCCGATGTACTTCCTTAGCTTTCTCTTCACAGGCAAACACCACCACAGTATCTCTCAGTCAACGGAAACAAATGTCACTTTGAGGTCAAGAAATATGACGGTTGCTGGACGCCAGTAAGTATGCCTATGTTCTAGAATCTGGCGGAGGTTGAGGATATAATCAACACACTATATCCGCTCTACGAAATCAGAATAGTTTTACTGATGCATTTACACCTTCTGTGGATCAGATGATCAGTGCACGCACTCAAAGATAAATAAACACCCGCAGAGATATGGAGTAAGAATGGCTACTTCCAAAAATTTGGTCGTCAGTCATTAAAAATATCAGCACAATGTTTGTTTCGACTACTTAATTGTTTACTGACAATTTGTTTATTACTTTTCTTGAGGATGGAAGATGTTTTGTTAAGTGTTTTCAAAAACAATCTTGAGAAACTTAATGCTTTCTTCTGTTTCATTTTTTAGTGAAGTTCGGAGTTTGATTTTTGTTATAAATAGTATCTAACCACTGACTCTTAAGTGATGATCACCTTCTAGTGTGACCTTAGGTAGGTGAACAAAGACTTAATTCAGTAGTCTCATGCTTTGTTTCCATGGTTACATCACTTCTAACTCTCTCCTATTTAGCCTAATTTTACTTTAGACAAAAGCACTTGTTAAAGTAGCCAATGACTAGACAGGAGATACATATCTTCTCTCATACATCTCAGACAATGGGAATTCATCACTATATCAAACGAATTTTAAGTTAAAAGAATAACTAGGCAGTTTGAAAAATGTTTCAGTTTCAATTAATATTAAATGAGTACCAATATCTGTTTCCGAGAAGACAGGGATATGGAAATGTTTCCCAGAGGCCCTAATTATCCAGCCTGGCTGTTAATCTGTTTTTGTCTGTCTTTCCATTTATCTCATAAAACGAACTACAACTATAGATATTTATTCACTGAAATCGACCCTGAATGGAAGGCGACGAGCTGAGTCTCAGCATGTAATATGTCTGTCTGTCTGTCTGTTTTCGACATAGAACTTTGCACAAATGTGCGGAAGTTCAAGTCGCCACACTCCGTGTAGCACGCGAAGGAAGAGAAGAAAGTACAAGAAAAGCATAATAGAAACAGTGAGCAGAGGTGTGAGACAAAGGAGTAATAAAGAAAAACAAAACAGTTTCATTGGAGATCATAAGTCACAGGGAGTGGATGCATCTGCGCCACTGAGAACGATGAGTTTGAGCCATGTCACCAATTGTTGCCAACCATAGATTTTTACCGTCCCGAGGACCCCAGCCTGGAAGTTTACACCTTCCTACGTGGCTTAGACCAACTGTTGTGGATTTCATTGACTGATGCCAAGTTTTTATTTGACCGCCGCTAGCTTTTTTCCAGCCTGACCCTATATCCGCTAACATTGCTCGTCGAGGGAGGCGATGGCTTGGCATACGTAACACATGTCCTAACCATCTCAGTCTTTGTAACTTCACGACTTCGTCGATTGATTTCCCTGTTTACCTAGAACTCTACGCCTAACCTCCATGTTGCTCACCTTATTATGCCACTTTACACGGGAAATAGAGCGCAGGCACCTATGAACAAAGACAGCTAGTCTTTTCATGTCTTCCACTCTGAGTGGCCAGGTCTCACAACCATAAAGGAGGACGGAGCGGACTGATGAGCAGTACACCCGCCCTTTGGTCGATAGTCGAACATCTCGTCTACGCCAGAGTCGGCGTAAACTGGCAAATGCGAAACGAGCCCCCTGTATTCGTGCTGAGATTTCGTCAGAGATCAGCCCGTTGGGGCTGATGGTACTTCCCAAATAAGTGAAGCGGTCAACGTGCTCCACCACTTCACTTCCTATTTTTAAACTAGGCTTCGATGTAGTCCAGCCCTGTAACATGTAATATGGAAGAGATCATGCAAAGAGGGAGACATGAAAACTTGTAGGCTCCCCAATGGAACCAGCTAAAAGTGATTCTCAGAGAATCAAGTGTGAAGTAAGGAAAATGTAACGCCAAGGCCTTATGTCCCACTAGAAATACAAAGAATGAATTAGGACAATCGTGTATATTCAATTATTTCGTATGGAACAGGATGTTTGAAGGATTCCTAGTGGATAGTGTGAACACCGGATAAAAAAAATAGATGACTTTATTCATTTACAGTTGTATATCGAGTACCAAACACTCTGACTAAGGGCACATAGTTACGTCTCCTAGCTACAGCTGAAGCTATCGAGACTAATAAAAAGGAACCTGACCAATATATGTCTGTCTACCCTGGCCTACTATAAGGTCATTAGGGACACAATCATCTCATATTTTGTTTGTAGCGATTTCATTTATTTCAAGTCTTATCAAGGATTGATATCAGTTAGAGAAACATTAAAAATAACCAAGGACTCCTAGACAGCCGTTTCGTCAGCCTAGTCTGGGACACATCATCAGTATACACCAACTGGGTGTCGAACTCAGGGCCTTCTGGTTACAAGACAAGCTAGTAGACTATTCAGCCCAATAGGACTCGAGTCAATGACCAACCCATGAATTTTAAATTCTACCGACTCGTGATTTTAGTGCGACCGGCATCCAGAGTTATCGGTGAGCATTTGTCCTCATTCCGGACTGAGTTCTATCATAAAATTTTCTTATTCTTTCCCACCTAGTTTACTTTACTTCATTATTAATTAGCCTTATTATTTTCTTTACTTTTGTGACATAACTAAGCTAATCGTGTCTCTGTTTTATCACTACACATGATATCTGTCATCCCTTTCGCTTTATGTCCAGTCTTCCTCATTCTGTTTGTATGCATTTTGCGGTAATCATATTTCTTTCACACCACTGAATAGAAGTTACAACTGCAATCCATGTACCCCATTACAGTTACTGAATAGAATTTCAGCCTGCCTTTAGTGACTATTTGTATTCTAATATTTTCATGGATTTAAAACTGTACATCCAGAGGAGATTGTTATCGGAAACAATTGTTCTGTCAAAATCATTTTGTCATGATTCCTTTACTATTTTTATAAGCACACTTCGATTAGGTTTTGAACAAATAATTTATTCTAGAACCGTATCAAACTGAAATTCTAATTATATTGCTAAAACATTTGTTGGACTGCAAGTGGTGAACAATACGAATAGAAGTAAATCCATACTGCGGTGGTACACTACGCCTCTTTGTTCAATGAAGAGTTACACATTGAGGAGATCTGAGCATCAAGTCTATGAGAAATTTCCCGTTGACTGATTGGATTGTAATGTTCAGCCTCTTTTGATATGTTGATTCAATAGGCAGATGCTAAGACGACGGATGATTACTTGACTTGAATTAATCTGGTGGTTAATGGCTGTCAACGGAATCCAGGACGCATATTTCGTGTCATTTGGGATTCGCCATTTTGGTGTAACTGCATTCTTCAGTAAGTGATGTTACTCCCACTCTGACTCGAACCCAGTACTCATCGTACCAGATGTCAGAGCGTTATCCACTAAACCACTTTGGCAACAGGAGCCACATCTTGTAGAAAGAGCTGGTCCCACAAGTGCCTATAATCTCTCACCTTCTCCTCTATGTCACCCTCAGATGGTCCACTTGTTAACCATTCACCTTCCACCTGAGCAATCGCCTGGCGCACGATGTCACCCTGACGGTGTTCTCAGAGTGTGGTCAATCCATCTCCATTTTTTTTCTATATATTTGTTGAGTAGTCGATGTTTGCTTGCTTGCTAATTCTTTCTAACTAGCAATCAGATCTTCAGTATGTAGCCAGAGAAGTCAGCTGTTGATAAACGTTTATCACACACACACACACACACAGCCTGTTCTTAGTACCTTTCATGACACACCAAGTTTCTGACCTATACAAAAGAAAAGGTTGACTTAACATTGGTCTAGGAAATCCGAATTTTGTTGTGTTATGCTGAGTGCAGAAGATTTCTAAACTGATGAAACTTTGCATCGCCTTTCCAATCTCGGCTTTGACTTCTTTGTCTGTTCCAGATTTAATTTAAATAAAATGCTCCCTAGTTAAATGAAGAAGAAGAAAGAAACCCCTTTCAGATTTATTTCGTTAAATGGTAATTGATACATCTTCTTGTTTTTAATGTTGGTTGGTTATCTCCATCACCTCTATCCTCTCTCTCTCTCTCCCTCTGTTCACCTGAAATCCTGTCTTCACTGTCTGCTTCTTCTGCCAGTTGGTTAGTTTTCGCCCACAAGTCTTCGAGCATGCATGACATCAAACATAAATCATCCATGCACGAGATCCAAATCTTCTTAAGTCTTCTTATCAGTCAAACGCATTCCTGTCTCCTCGCCCCCCCCCAGTGCACAGTCTGACGCATAATCCAGTCAGTCCACCACATCTAAGAATATCATCAATGATAATGTAACAACAGACGACAAGGGCCAGGCAACAGATCGTTTTATTATGAAAATCAACACGTATTTATATATACTTCACATACATTATTATAGCTTATGCAAGTAGACAAGCTCAGCCATCTGATTGGTTGTTTATCAGAAGTTAAGCAGACAAACGCAGGCTTCTGATTGGTTGTTTCGGGATTCCTCGAAAAATAGAGTTCTCTATCTGCGAATCATATTTTGCCACGTTAAGTCTGTTGTGATTGGTTGTTGAATCAGCCTTGTACATATTTTCTCACGGCCTGTTCTCACCACAATAATAGGCAGGCAGCCTTGTCTTACTCCTGTCGCCACTTCTAAAGCCTCTCTGAGTTTTCCAGTGTGGATCACTTGACATTTGGAAGTGTCATATAGAATTTTGAATGAGGTTGATAAAGACCTGGTGTACTGAAATCCATAGTGTTGCAGTAGTTTCCAAATAATTTGCGGTAACTGCTGTCGAAGGCCTTTACACAGTCGATGAAATTGAGGTACATTGAGATTTGACCGCCATTAAGAGCTGTCTGTCATCCTACGCCTATTTCACTGATGTTTAGAGCCACAATGTGGTCTGCACGTGATTTTCTCTTCCTGAATCCAGCTTGTTCTGGGCGGAATTCTGAATATATGTATAGCTGATATGTATCCATATATATATATATATATATGTGTATGGTGGTCTCTCTTTCTGTTGCTCTCTTAGTCTGTGACCATTTCACTTTGATGAACCTGTTTACTTTAACAATGTATATTCCCCTTATAGTATATATAATATGCGTGTTCGTTGAAATGTCTGCTATATTTTGCTATGTATATATGGATCGATACTCCATTACAATTAGCCAATCATGTTAAGACTATCTATTGGTTGTTCACACACTTGTTCGGACATACATATATATTTTTGCTCTCACACTCTTGTGTGACTTTGATTCTCCTAGTGTTTTGGAAAATAGAAGTATCATCGCAAACCTAGTGGTCTTCTGATTTCCGTCTTTCTTGCGTCAGGACTATTAAATTCTCGACTAGTACATAACAATAATTTGGTGACGAGTACATAATAATAGCACTTTCAATAGTTGGTTTGTAAGGATTAGATTTTTTTACGAGTTGATCACGAATTGATATCAGTTAGAGAACCACTGGAAAACTTGAACTGGAGTACTGGATAGCTGTTTCATCCCACTTTGAGAATCATTGGCAGTTCGCACCCACTAAAGTTCGAACCCAGGATCTTCCGGTTACAACACAAGCTCGTTAGTGGTCGTGCTAAATCGCGAGTTGGTAGAAGTTAGAATTCACACACTGGTCATTTAATCGGATCCCAGTGGCTGAATGGTATAGGAGCTTGCCCGTAACCTGAAGGTCCTGAGTCCGAACCACGGCGGTGGGTGCGTTCTGCCAACGCTTCCGAAACTAGGATGAAACAGCTGTCCAGTACTCCTGACTGGTTTTCAATGGTTCTCTAACTGATATCAATCCGTGATCAACTCGAATAAAATATATATAACAGTTATAGAATATAAAGTTTAGTAGAAATCACTTCGTGTAATACATCCGACGAAACATCACATATAAAAGGTAAAAAGAGAGATTTTTTCAACGTATACTAAAGTGAAATACACATCAGAAGTCTTTTGCGAAATTAAACTTTTGAACAATAGAAATTGATGCGCTATTTACAATTCAAAATGATTGACTGTTAAAAGGATGATTGACAAGAATTTTCAACTTTTGAGTTTAACTTTTAAGTACACAAATCTGTCAAGTGTTTTTCCTTTCCACTTGTGTTTTTACTTTTATTTCACACTTTTAGAAACTTGTTAGTTTTTATTTCTAATGTGAACTAGTCATCTGAGCAATCTTTTTTAACTCGAAAAGTACTCAAACTCATGAATCAGTCTGACGAATTTCTATGATTATCACATGACTTTTTGTAAGTGATAACGTGTCATTTGATTGTAAAATAACAGCTATATTAAAAGTTATTTCTGAGTGATGTTGACTAGCAATGTGGGATCCAAAATACTCATTTCGTCCTATTTTGGACTTATCATCTGAGCCCACCTGCATTTCCAGTAACTGGGTACACTAATACTCACCGGGAATGCAGATAATTCCAGAAGGAAATGCGCACCTACTGGATTCCACACGGCTAGTCGCCATCAACCCAAAATAACATCACATTAATCCTCAAACGTCATCGAAGCATTCGCACAAGTAGTCGACAAGTCAGCAGAGGAAGGCCATTTGAGTCATGCAGAATCAATTAACAGGAAATGCAGACTGACTTTAAAAAGACAAATAATATTGAAAGTTTAATTTGTGGATGGTGACTAGCAGTGGAATCCAGGATGTGCGTTTCTTCCTATTTGGGATTCGTCATCCGGATGCACCTGCATTTCCCAGTGAGTTATGATGTTCCCACCGATGCGCGAATCCAGTTTCCATAGTTTCAAGGGCCAAAGCGTTATCTACTAGACCACTCGGCCCACCTCTTGTGCAACGCGTCATATTAAGCCGACATGTCAACCTGACACCGAGCACTTCGGTTCTATCAATTAACGGGAAAATCTAAAAAATTCAATTAAATATTGAAAGTTGTCACAAAGAAATACTGATTAACAGTAGAATTATGTCCATGTATTTTTAACAGGGATAAAGTTTTGAAACAAGCCCCACATCCACAGAAGAATATTTTACTTACCATGAATATGACCTTCATAGTCTGGTATCATACCCTCTTGACGGAATATACGTGAACTATGATATTTACTGCTTGATGTAAGCGGATCTATCCTTGCCATTTGTGGTGATCTGAAAAAGTATTTAAAAACAATTAGAAATATTATAAATGATAAATTATTCATTTGATAAAAAGTGAGATAAGAAAGTCGTGAACTGTAATGGCATTTTTATACCGAGAAGAAATCACGAAAGGCAGAAGTATGACAAAAACATGTGCATCTCTGATTGTTGCCAGTATGCATACGAACGAGATAAAGAGATAAAACATAGCAACTATTATGTCATATTATATTATTATTAAGGGAAAAAATACATACAAACTGAGGGGGTGGTTATGGGGTCACCAACATCCCCGGTTGTAGCAGATATATTCATGGATAGGTGGAAAAACAGAGCGATTGAAACGTTCACCTCCCCCCACTCCAAAAGTATGGTGGAGGTATGCTGATGACACATTCACTGTACTTAGAACACAAGATATAGGTAGAGTTTTCGAACACATTAACTCAAAGGTGGAGGCAATTCAATTCACTTATGAATTGGAAAGTCAGAAAGGGTAGCTTCCAATGTTACATTGTAGCATAAAAAGGAAAGAAGATGGGAAGTTAAACACACTAGTGTTTACGGGAAACCCACACATTCAAACAGATATTTGGACTTCCGATCATCCCACTCAATCTATGTCAATGAAAATAGGATTTGGTGAAAGGTTCACGTGACAGAGCACAAAAACTAAGTATTACCAAGGAAAATCTAAGACAGGAAGTGATACATATGAGAGAAGCCTTGAAACTGAATAATTAGCGTGATAAATTAGTCAGAAAGTATGTAGGGAAATGTAGAAATAAAATAAATAATGATAGTAGTGAGAGTAATAATAATAATTATATTATTGACGACATGCATGTCTAAATATGCGCAAGACAACACCAAAAACAGGTGATATAAATCATCAGTAGTACTTCTATACGAGGAAGAAACCTCGGAAACCTTACGCAGAATTCTAAACAAGGCAGGCAGGAATAAAAGTGGCTGGCATTCAATCACCCACAAAATCAATTAGAAATAATCTTTATCGGTTAAAGGATCAATCCTGTGGAGCCTTCAAAACAAAACAATTTAGTTCATCTAATACCCTGCCTGCAATGATTATCAGGTCAATTACATAGGTCAAAGTAGAATAGGTGCAGTCAGACTAGCCAAGCATAGAAACCTGGCAAAATCTAGATTAATTGTTCCATATAAGATTAGAAATCTAGAGAATAATTCAGCTATACCAGTCACTACTTGCAGCTAAACACAACGATACAATAGGATGAATAGGACGAGATGACAGTTTTGAAATCTAATGTAGCATCAGGGTGGAGAGAGACATTGATAACAGAAGCTTTGTTCATTGAATCGACTGCAAAAACATGTAATAGGAATGATTCAACACCTGTCCACCCAGATATCTGGAAAATTCTACTACCCCTACGACGACAAATGGGAGAGGACAAAGAAAACTATAAAACTCAAGTTTCGAAGTCGTGTTGTAACAACAGAAGACGTATTTATATAAATTTCACATACATTATTATAGCCTAGTCAAGTAGACAAACGCAGTCTTCTGATTGGTTGTTTTCGAGTTCCTCGGAAAGTGGAGCCATCTATCTGCGAATCATATTTGCCCACGTTTAAGTTTGCTGTGATTGGTTGTTGAAACAGCCTTGTTCATATTTTCTCACGGCCCATATTAGTGACCTAGACATTGACGTAGATTAATGTCAACCAATTGGCTAGCAGGCTGCTCTCAACATAGTGTGATTACAATTGATGGAATGATTATGAACAATAATGAATTGTGTTCTAAACTGTGTCATCCTGTAAATAATACTGTCTCACTGTGTGATACATCTAATAAACAAACTAATATTGAATTACTTACCACCACAGTCCCCAAGTTTTACACATATATTAATATAGCAATTATTAACTCACTAAGTTAGGTGTCTAATTGTTACACAGCTGAAGTGTGGCATACAGCCTAGCTAACCTATATTTTATTGTTTCATGTCAAACACTAAAAGTCACCTTTTCTGTCAGAAATGTTGATTTGATATATAACACAATGATACAGTATTAATGATTGTAGATGAAGTTTGGAGCACTGTTTATTGTTCATAATCATATCAGTTGGTCTACATAGTATCCTAAATTGCTTTATATAGCCCCAATGATTCCTTTTTTTATTGCGGATTAAGGATAAATGTTGCGTCCTTTCGATTGCACACTGTTTAGTTTTGATTAGATGAACACAGATTCGGCGATTATTCTCTCTCTCTCCCTTCACCTATCCTACCACCCTATAGCGTGAATGCTTCATTAGGTTTTAGGGATGTTTCAACTAGAATTTCATTATGTTTGTCAATGACGATACATTCTGATACAATTCCACTTATGGTAATTGGATTAGGCAGGCGTAGGTACCTAGAAATTATGTTATTTTTTTTAAAATATCCTATGCGCAAAATACGATGTTTTATAATTGTATAATCTTGGTTGAAATATCGTAAAAACCTAGAGAAACAGACTTGAGAAAGTCAAGAAACACACAAACTAGGAAATTCAAAAACTGTAGTGAATGAAGCGAACGTCAGAGAAAATGATAAAGTTCACAACGATATTTCATCAACTGTCGATAGAATAAAGTGGACCAAGACGCGCTCATCAAGAGAAATGTGACCTGCAGTGAGATAAAATTACTTGACAAAGGTTTAATCTTTTCAACATGACATTTAATCAACTAAAACCAGAGGATGTCATTCCTTAAACACACAAATAGATAAGACAACAACAGAAAGGGTCCTTTTACAATATTGATTAGCACTAAAGTGGTGAAAGGAATCGTAGTCAAACACACTTTCCTAAACCGGGAATACTGGTTAGCTTTGATGTATCTCAAACATGACAAAGAGTCATTGGAAATACGGATGAGGGTAACTCAACAGTTTTTCATTTCTCTCAAGTCTGTGTGGAGGTTAACAGCACTCAGCATGAAAAATAACATCCGGATTTTCAACTCCGATGTAAACTCAGTCCTACGAAACGGATCAGAGGCACTTAGCGCCGTGTCACGAAGGGCACTTGGAACAAGCTACAAACCTTCATCAACAGCTGTCTTCACTGAATACTCAAGATCAGATGGCCAGAAAAGATCAGCAGTGGGAATTTTGGGGAGCTTTTCAACACAGCAGGAACTAATTGTGCAAGAAATAAACAGGAAGAAATGGAGGTGGATTGGAGGCCATATTCTGAGAAAACCCAATGTTCCTCTAGGAACTAAAGGAAACAATAATAATAACAGTATTTATGGATATATCCGACTATGTGTAGAAAGTCACTGCACACATTACAACGCCTCCATATGAGAAAATTATTAAGCTTATCGATTTAGTAGTGAATAAGATAAAGAAGGCTAAAGCAAATTTAGTAAGTAGGGTCATTATATGATTATGTCAGATAAACTGTGCTATAAACATCACCAATAATTGGTATACTGTATAAATGTATGATTTTATCACATAGATTTACTCTATGATGAAAAAGTATATTTTTATTCAAAAAGGTTTTCTTTTTATTCATTCCTTCAACTCGATGAGTTACATCGTATGACATTAAATGAACAGTACAACTCAGGATTGACAACATTGTCGTCATCTCCAAGACACTGTTTTTCTATAGTTTGGTTTGTAAGGGTTAGTTTTGTTTTTACGAGTTGATCGCGGATTGATATCAGCTAGAGAACCATTGAAAACCAGGGAGTACTGGACAGCTGCTGTTTCATCTTAGTTTTGAACTCTACACCGGTACGCATCCACTGGGGTTCAAAACCAGGATCTTCCTGGTTATAAGACAAGCTCGTATATCATTCAGCCACTGGGACCCGATTCAATGACTCATGAATTCTAACTTCTACCAATTTGTGATTTATTGCGACCCCAACCATTGTCGTAGGTGGGACATCCATCCTCACACGTGACATGGGTCAAAATGAGAACAATAACTCTAATAAAAGTAACAGTGGGTTTGTTTCAAACAGCATTGTAGACACAGTTTGGAAATTTTAACATATTATAGAGTATTGAATTTAGTGTTCCTTTGATGTAGCTTGATGACGGGGAAAAATAAAGAATATCAATTATTACAGAGCTTGAATGATCTTTGCACTCATGAGAAAATAGGCCAACAAAAGAATCAGAGGATCATGAATGTAAGAATAATAGTAACTGCAAAGCTTGATATTATAAGGGTGGAGAAAATGGTTTATTTACTAGTGCAAAGAAGGTTGATTAGTTCGTCTCTGACACTATTTTCATCACATAGAATACACATGCCACGAAATATGGTATAGTGAAATGTTTCTACTTAGACTTGTACGCAAAAAATCTTTTGGAATAAAGTTACATAGACTAAGATGGCTAGGTCACGTGCTGCGCATGCCTAAACACCGCCTCCCCGACGGGCATTGCTAGCTGATATAGGTGCAGGTTGGAAAAGAGCCAGTGGTGGCCAAACAAAAACATGGCCTCATCAATCCATGAAATCCTTGACAGTTAAACTGAGTCAGGTAGGGAGATGCAGACTCCCGGGTTGGGGCCCTCGGGACTCTAGGAATCAATGGCTGGAGACAATAGGTGACATTGCTCAAAATCGTTGTCAATGGCGCAGATATAGTATTCAGTCTCTGTAATCTTTCATATTCATTTCTACCATTACCCATTCTGTTTCACTCTTATACTTGTCAGACTGTATTGATTCTCTTCACTCATCTTCTTGTCTACCTCTGTGTGCTATTTGGAACGTGGCAACTCGAACTGGTGCACTTCGGTGCCAAGTTCTATGTTGAATCCAGACAGACAGACTTACCTGAGGAGACACAAGGTTGGAGCTGCGGGTCAACTGGACGCTCACAGTCTGACAAAATTTCTTTAACAAATTTCTTGCATGACATTGAGTGCCTATCATCAATGACGATGTCAACGATATGGCCCAATCGGATAATACCACTCGCCCTACTGACTGATAGTCCTCATAGCCCTACGAAGTATGTCATAGTCTTTTTTAAGCAACCCAGAAAAGAAAAAGGGTGAAGAATAAAGAGGAATAGTTAAGATGTAAGAGTTGACAAACTGTAAGATAAGGAGGGATTGAATTATCCCTTATTGCCTTAACTTCTTAATGTATGTTCTCACCCTCCCCCCCCGCCACCCGCAATCAACACATAAGTTTTTATTATGGTATGTTTTGTTATTGACAGCTTTCTTCCAGTTTCGCCATATCACTTTCTTAGTTATTTGCACTGGCATATAGTGAATTTTTAATATAATATTCATGAAATTATGTTCTGGGGTGTATGACTGGCTTCCAATGGCGAGAGTATTCAGGGATAGAGTTTTCACTGATATTTGACTAACTATTATCAGTATGACTTTAAACATTTTCAAGCCTGACAACCACTAAACAAAAATGAACTGGGTTTCAGGTGTAAAACTTTATATAAAACTACAGCTGTTCAAGTTGTCACACATCACAGAAGTACTCATAAGCGTAGGAAAGACAAAGAATTGTAAAAACAAAAACTGTTACAATGAAAGAAAATGTACGGGAGAATCAATAAATACATGGAGAAGCATTTTCAATCGTGTAAAAAGCAGTCTCCAGCAAATGGTTTTCTGAGTCCCAAGGACCCCAGCCAGTTATTTTACACTGCCTCACATGGCTTAAACCAAATGCCAACGACTTCATGGATTAATGACATGTTTTGATTTAACTGCCCTTAATTTTTTTTTGTAACCTAATCCTATATCAGGTAATATTGCTGGACTATGAAGGTGATAGCGCTTGGCATGACTAATAATCGTCTTAGACAAACAGAAGTTATTCATCCTTTCACATAAACTATTCCACACATTTCTATACAGATGGAAGTCGTCTCTCTCTCATTTACTACACAAAACCATCTCAACTATAAGCTGCTCCGATGAAAATGGCAAAGCCAGGCAGTATAAGAAAGGCAAGAAAGATTTTCATTATTCTGAAACCACTATTAAGATCTGCAGAACACTATGCATAAGGAATAAGATTCGAATTTTCAACATTTATGTTAAGTCATGGCTTCCATACCGTTCAGAAACTTGACGCATCACAAAAACTATTTCCAACGGGGCTCAAACTTTCATCAATAGACGCTTTTGTTCGTCACTGAAGAGGAGATAATCCATCAGAAACAATAAGCAATGCATAAAGAACTCTAACCGAGAACAACCTATCGTCCAACATGTAGGCAGAAGAAAATGTAGATAGAAGGAACGTATACTGACATGGTTGCTGGGTGACACCAAATCTCAGGTTCCGAATGGAAAGCAGCGACAGTGAGGAGATCAATGTAAGAAGGAAACGAAAGCTTTGTGACAGTTATAGAACCAGCTAAAAATGCCTCGCAGTACAGAGTGAAGTAAGGTTGTGCTTGATTTTGTAGGGATTTTGTTTGATTGCATGGAGGGTTACATAATGAGCTCACATCAGTTAGAGAACCACTGGAAAACCTGGGAGTACTGGACAGCTGTTTCGTCCTAGTTTGGGACTCTTCATCAGTACGCTGAATTTAATAATAATTTCTCTAACATATACAAAACGTTTTGAAAAATAGTGAGCAAACTTCAAGCCAAGAACACATACTCCTCTCAAGATTTTCTCTTTATACAGCTTAAGTGATGTGAAATTTTGGCCAAACCGATAAGCACACCAATGCACACACATCAGCACAACCTAAAGCCAAGTTAAATTTTGAGCACCAGCAATTGTCGACACCGGTGAACTTGAATGGTCCAGTGAGTTTTTTTTCACATGATTTGAAGCTTCTCTTCCGCTTGATTCGAATCAAACGCCTGCTTTAACGTATTTGCTATTGCAATTTGGTGAAGTCTGTCTGTCTGTTTTCGACATAGAACTTTGCACCGATGTGCACCAGTTCAATTTGCCACACTCCCTCCATGTAGCACACAAAGCAAGAGAAGAAGGTGGAAGAAATGCATAATAGAGACAGTAAACAGAGGTGTGAGACAAAGTAATAGTAATAATGAAGAGCAAGACAGTTTCATTGAAAATCATAAGTCACAAGGAATGGATGCATCTGTGCCATTGAGAACGATTTTGAGCCATATCATCAATTGATTCCAGCCACTTATTATTACCTTCCCGATGACCCCGACCAGGAAGTCTACACCTTCCTACGTGGCTTAAACTAACTGTCGTGGATTTCATTGACTGGTGCCATGTTTTAGTTTGACCGCCGATAGCTCTTTTCCAGCCTGATCCATGCTGTATCAGCTAACAGATGTTTGCGTCCCATCTCATGAATTAAGTAGTATAATATAATATAGTGAGGTGTAGTGTTAGATGGGGAATAAAAGTAAATCTATAAAGTTCTGAAGGTAAATCGACTGAGGTAACTAGAACACGTATTACTCCTGTCGATTTAATTAATGCCTTCCTCGACTGGCAATGTTAGCTGACATAGGATTAGGTGGCACAGTGGTTAGGACCCTCGCCGACCATGCACACGGTCCAGGTTTCGAGCCCACGCCGACGCACACCTGATATTTATGGTCGACCTGCGAAATTTGGGCTACCGATATCCATGCTGAAAATCCCATACTTGTACCAAAAATACAGTGTGGAATCAAGCTGTAATCAAAAATTTAAAAAAATTAACATTGCCCATTGTCGAGGTAGGCAATGACTAGGCATACGTAACATATGTCCTAATCATCTCGGTCGATGTAACTTCACAACCTCGTCGATTGATTTTCCCTTCCACCTACCTAGCATTCGACGCCTAACCTCAGTATTGCTCACCATATTATACCACTTCACACGGGAGATAGAATGCAGACACCTATGATCAACGACAGCTAATCTTTTCATGTCTTCCACTGTCAATGGCCACGTCTCACAGGTAGCCATAAAGGGGGACGGAGTGTACTGCTGATCAGTACACCCGCCCTTTGGTCGATAGCCAGCCGGATATCACGTCTACTAAGCCAGAGACGGCGTAAACTGGCATATGCGAAACTAGCCCTCTGTACTCGTGCGGAGATTTCGCCAGAGATCAACCCGTTGGCGTTGGTTGATGGTACTTCCCAAGTAAGTGAAGCGGTCAACGTACTCTAGCACTTCACTCCCTATTCCTAATCTAGAAGTCAGTGTAGTCCAGTCCTGTAACATCATCTTGGATTTGGCCGGGGCAAATCGCATGCCAAACATTCGTAGATTGCAAATTTGGTGAAGACCAATCTTGCAGCATGACTTAGGTGCGGGATATATTAGAAGAGAAAGGATTTGTCCATGTGGAGGTGTGCTGAGAATAAAAAGCTACCGCAGATCGGTTGATGGACATGTGCATCTTTGTGTAATCTGTTTGAGACGAGGTAAGGTAAGCTGAAGATCCTAATATTTCGTAAGAATATTTTTCGCTAGATCACCTTTTTTCCCTAACCCAGATTTTGTAAATTAAGAAGTAAATTTTCAATTCCTGGGTTTTAAAACAGCCTGTAAGAAGTGCAGCTGCTGAAACTGAAAATAGTCTCTTTTCGACAGTCCAATGGTACCAGCACTGCTGAAATATCACGTCATGAATAATGGAGAGGCTTACTTCCCTAGTGGAGAGAAGGAGGTGTCGTCGAACATGTAGATGAAACTATCTTATTAAAGAAAAAACACATCTATGGTCGAGAACGAGCAAATAATGTTTGAGTGACTGGTCCATACTATACCTCTTAACGGAAAGAATTCATCGACAGAATAGAAGATAGAAAGTCGAGTACTTTAATGCCTAATATTACTCGACTGGTGAAACGACGATCTATAATACACACAGATGAGTGGAGATGTTATAACTCCTTGTGATTCCTTGGATATATTCACCACAGAGTCAACTATTCTAATGATTTTGTAGATCCCATTACAGGGGCTTACACCATTTCTATCGAAAGCTTTCGGAGAAGGTTAAAAAACCGGCTTAGACCCGATAATAGACTACAAAAGGATAATAATTAAAGTCATTTAGATGAATATACACATAAGATGTGGTGTAACTTTTCTATTGACACTCCTGTATTAAACTGGGAGTTGCTTTTTATCATGTGTGAGAGAAAGGTCTCCTCTGTAACACTTTTATACAGTTTTTATGCATTCTTGTTTGCATCAGCATACGTATTCCATAGTCAAAAAATCCTCTTTCAAGTGACTGGTGCTTTCAAAGTCATTTGCTGATTGGAAGTTACTGGTGCTGAAAGTTTAACTTTGCCCACACTAACACTAGTGTGCAGTATTCCAACTTAAAACCTTTCACGCAGTAACCGTTATAAAACCAAAAAGAAATGATAGATTATACAATTAAAAACTTACGTGTCTAAACTGGTCGTAGGTATATCAAGATTATCAAAATGATTTCTGCACTCAGCTCTGAATGACTCCAATCCACTTTTAGCCGCTTCATGGAATCGTTTAGCCAGGCCAGCATCTGTTGTCTCTACACGCGGCAGAAATCCTTGATAACCTGGGATAGGCGGTTCTGTAGGACCTTTAACAATATTCACACCAAAGTTTTTCTTTATCATATCATCAGTCCATACATTCAAATGATCTCTGATCAGGGGATCATGAGCAACAGGACGAAGTTTGGGAAATAGGCTAGCCAACTCTTTCAATTCATTGCGTTTCTGTTCAGTACACTTATACTCTCGAACAAATTGATCTACACATTCATCGGAGAGATTTCTATATGTTCCACCGAATTTGAAATCCATATGTGGTACATCGCCTAGAAAGGAAAAGAGATTTTGAAGAAAATGCTGTGTAAAAAACATTAATTTCCATACCAGAATATCCTGGAATCATTCCTTCAAAATATTTATTATCCCCTGCTGGTTTAGGTAACATTCTTCCAGGTACTTCATCGCTAAACACGGATCGAACAACACCAGTCTTATCTTTACCGATAACAGGGTAAAGATGGTGCGGATGCTAAAACGTAGAACAGTATACATACACAGAACCAACTTACTTGAGTTCTTGGACCATTGTAATATGGAAGTTCCTAAAATTTTAATATGATTATTATTATTTTTATCATCAGTTATTTCCCCGCTAATTTATTATCACTTACTTTAGCTATTTCTGCTGTCTCCTTACCGAAAGAATGTCCATATCTGTACTTAAATTGTGGGCAAAATCCCATATATCTAGATAGAAGACAAAGTAAAGCAATTATAAGATGGGGTGACTTTTGTTAGGCAAAGGATTAACACGAATCAGTCTGAAATCGTTGAAGAGAAACTTGTAGTTTCGTAGCTTATTGTCTCAAGGTGCCAAATGTAGTAGCTGGATGTGAAAAAATAATGTTGAAATAAAGTGCTACTGGTTAGTTTTTGTCGTCCAGCTTGACTGGAATGCGCCTCTGGACACGACACTATAGCAAAGTGATCACTTGAAAACATTCCCCACATTGAGATTTTTTTTAATTCCTTTACGAACATGGAAGGCTTCAACCTCGAGGCTTGAAGTTTCTGTAGCAGCCGTGATTATTTTTACAGGATCGGGTTGCTAGCTTCATGCTAAACCTTCCTTCTTTACCAGCCTTATTACTGGCTCAGCGAGGTAAACGACTGAGTCGAACGGGCATCGAACCCATGACCGAATGAAGCGTAGACGGCGAGTACTCTACCGACGCATAATCCAGAGAGTACTGGACAGCTATTTCATCCTAGTTTGGGAATCATTGGCAGTACTCACCCACTGCCAGGGTTCGAACCCAAGGCCTTCCGGCTACAATTCAAGCTCGTATACCACTCAGCCACTGGAACCCTTCCAACATTGACATAGACACAAAATTCAGATAAGAAGAAAAGGATATTAGTCTTTTCTGAAAAATATTTCTTTCTGTCATTCTTCAATACACTCTGAATGACAACTGGCTGGTCGGTTGAAGTCACACATTGTGATCTGACTCAGCTACACTTGTCCATGTGGTGTTGAAGAAATAGACAAGCAGGTAGACCAACTGACAGAGAAACGCACATCACTTCAAGTTGCTACACTCCGTAAAATTTCAAAAAGTACCGATGAATAGAGATGAAAAAATATCTTCAAAAGCTATAAATATATCTCTTCAGTAGTACATACACCCCTTACTCTACCAGAGATTGAATCAAGCATTTTCAGGATACAAGGCGATAGACATCAAATAGGAATCCAGTGGCGTATGAGTCCGAACTTCTACCAATTAACGATGCATAGCACCAATGTCATTGGCTAGTATCTGTCCTTAAAGCAGACTTGGTGGACTTCATTAGTCATAAACTCTCATTGGAAGTCTATGAAATCCATCCTGTATACAGTCACTAACATGCAGCAGATTCATCTTCAGGTGTTGATGGATAGGCAAAGATTCGATTGACTTCAAGCTGAATCACGAGCCAGAATTACTTAGAAATAATAATCGAATGAAATAGATAAAAAAATATTTATGCATTTATAATCCACTTTGACTTATGTCATTAAAGGCACCAATATAAGAAATCTGAATATACTGACTGAATCGGTGACACAGCGGTTAGGATGCTTGCCAACCATGCACATGGTCTATGGTTCGATCCCCGGTCGACGCACTCCTCCACCACCTCGCTATGCCAGTAATAGAAAAAGTGGTAAAGAGGAAACGTTGAGCATGAGGCTAGCAACCACATCCTGTTAAAATAATCACCACTGTGCTACAGAAATTTCAAGCCCCACCTTGAATCCTCTCATGTTCCACTGGGAACGTGAAGGAATAAAAAAAAGAATATGCTGAAGACTCAACTCAGGTGACTAATACTCATATTTTCAAGTGTTGGTTTTGTAGGGATTTTTTTGTTTGATAAAATCCTCCATGCAATCTTACTCCCAGGTTTTCCAGTGGTTCTCTAACTGATGTCAGCTCATTATGAAATCCTCCATGAAACAAAACTCATATGACATGAAATTTCTAGTTGTCACTATTTACTGTCCGTAAGCTCTATCTGTGAGGCATTTTATATGGGATAGTTTTATTAGGTGATATATAGGATTAGGTTATTCAAGATAATTAGCCACACTGCAACGACTGATGTATAATTACTTGAGGATCCTCAGGTTAACAGAGTGATAGGATCCCACATATTTTGGTATTGACTGTTTAATCTTGCATTTATGGTATGTTACCATTCTCACGCATTTTGGTGTTGACTGCTAATTTTGTATATCATCATTCTCACGCATTTTGGTAGTGACTGCTAATTTTGTATATATGGTATATCATTCCCACACATTTTGTTACTGACTGTCAATGTCGCACATATGGCATATTATGATTTCTCACACACTTTGTTATTGGCTATTAAGGTCAATTATTTCAAATGCTGTTAGCTGTCCATATTGTTGTAAAATGTATAAATACCATGGCTTTCTTTATCGTTGTTGCACTTCAATACACAGTCACAGTCCAGCCTTTGTCTTTTGATATTTGCGTGCTTTACTAAGTCGGAAGGTACGACGAGCAGATAGACAGATTAGTTCAGGCGCAGACAGAATAAGGTGAAAACGTCTTCATTCAATTCCCTACAGTTATAACAAATTGGCGACGGGGTTTTACCTTAATTCAGTGCAGTTACAACAATTGGCGACGGGGATTTACTTAATTCATCGCAGTTATAGCAAGCAAACGACGACAGTTTTTATTCTGTTCAGCGCAACTATATAACATTTTTGACTGTGTTAATTACAACCCAATTACAATGTCTATCTCTCTGGACGATCTCAAATCTATCTTGCAGCAGCAGCAAGTTCAGAATGAAGCAGCTCAACTAAAATTAATCGAAGCTCTCACTCAGAAGCTGTCCATTCAAGTTCCATCGACATCTCATTCTGACAAATATGAAAGCATCTCAAATTCTATCAGTGAGTTCAACTACGATCCAATATCTGGTCTCGTATTTGATGCATGGTTCAATCGTTACGAAGATGTTTTCCGTATTGAATGCTACATGTTTGATGATGCTGCCAAAGTCCGATTGTTACTAAGAAAACTTGGTACTGTTGAGCACAACAGATATGTTAACTTCATTCTGCCCAAGAACCCACGTGAGTTATCATTCGATGAGACAGTCACCGTTTTATCACAAATCTTTGGTGAACAGTCATCCATGTTTAATATTCGGTATCAATGTTTTCAGTTGACAAAAATGCCTTCCGATGATTATGTGACTTACGCTGGCAAAGTGAACAAGGAATGTGAAAGGTTCAAACCACACGAAATGACATCAGATCAGTTCAAGTGTTTGATTTTTATTTGTGGGTTGAAGAACCCAGAAGATACTGACATACGAACTCGACTTCTGTCACTTGTGGAACAAGACCCGAAAATGACTTTACAAATGGTGACAGCAGAATGCCTACGTTTAATCAACTTGAAGCACGATACTGCTATGGTGGAGTGCAAACGACAGTCGTCTGAATTTGGTTCGATTAACACAGTGAAAAGTCCTCCGATCACCGTTAAGCACACAGAACGTCAGTCTCAAAATTCAGCTAAACCTCCTTCAGTGTGCTGGCACTGTGGTTCGTGGCATTTTGTCAAGTTCTGTCCTTTCAAGAAGCATAAGTGCCGTAATTGTCACCGTTTTGGACATAAGGAGGGTTACTGTCCACCGCAGAAAAATCCTTCGGTGAGGAACAGAAGTAGTCGTTTCGAGCCGAAACAATCTCCTCGAGTACAGACTATTTATACAACTTCCAAAGTCGATGTCGCCAGCAAACGTAAGTACATAACACTAGATATTAATGGCAAACGTATTCGTCTTCAGTTGGATACGGCATCAGATATCACCGTAATTTCCCGAACTACGTGGCGCAAACTTGGTTGCCCACAGATTCTGCCGACCGAGCATGTCGCCAAGAATGTCTCTGGAGATATACTGAAACTCGTGGGTGAGATCAATTGCCAGGTTCAGTTTGGTGAGCATCACTTCAATGGTGTATGTTACGTTACAAACTACCATGATTTGGATTTGCTTGGTCTTGACTGGTTAGACAAGCTCCATATCTTTAATGTACCATTAAATTCAGTATGCTCTAATGTTTCGTCTTCACCACACAACGTTGTTCCCGGAGATGTATCTGATCAATCTCTCTTGCAACGCCGTCGTCAAAAGCACGCTTCTGTCTTCCAGGACAAACTTGGTTGCTGCAAACTGTTTGGCATCCAGCATATTCGTAGCCCCCCGTATCATCCCCACTCGAATGGACAGACTGAACGTTTCGTCGACACCTTTAAGCGTGCTTATGCAAAAGCGAAGGGGGAGGGAACAACAGAAAAATTTTGGATAAATTCTTGCTGCATTATCGTACGAATGAAAAAGGACAGTTATGTGGCAGACACACAGATCACGCTCTATCCAGTACCACGCAAAGGTCAACTCGACAAAGAAGAGCTCCGAAACCTTTTCAAATAGATCCAAAAAGCAAGTCCTACACTCTTTACGGGGGGAGGTGATAGGATCCCACATATTTTGGTATTGACTGTTTAATCTTGCATTTATGGTATGTTATCATTCTCACGCATTTTGGTGTTGACTGCTAATTTTGTATATTATCATTCTCACGCATTTTGGTAGTGACTGCTAATTTTGTATATATGGTATATCATTCCCACACATTTTGTTACTGACTGTCAATGTCGCACATATGGCATATTATGATTTCTCACACACTTTGTTATTGGCTATTAAGGTCAATTATTTCAAATGCTGTTAGCTGTCCATATTGTTGTAAAATGTATAAATACCATGGCTTTCTTTATCGTTGTTGCACTTCAATACACAGTCACAGTCCAGCCTTTGTCTTTTGATATTTGCGTGCTTTACTAAGTCGGAAGGTACGACGAGCAGATAGACAGATTAGTTCAGGCGCAGACAGAATAAGGTGAAAACGTCTTCATTCAATTCCCTACCGTTATAACAATTGGCGACGGGGTTTTACCTTAATTCAGTGCAGTTACAACACAGAGTCATTAGCTAATATCTTCTACAGAGTCACTGAAATGGAGATGTACACCCTGACACAGTATATATATGACCACTCAACCGCTAGATAATAAAATATTTGCTTCCACATAAAGTCGTTGGTTTCTAATTGTGAGTAGTTCAATTAAGACCACTACTGGAACTTATTCGACGTGGCCTTCGCTCACACATAGGCATACGCATTTTTTCGCCATATGGAACAACTGGTCTCATCACTTCAAATAACACAGTTCCAAAACCTCTTATTTCAACTAACACCATTTTAGTATAGAAATAAACCTGAAGAAGAGCACTCTTCCGTTTAGTCTGAATTCTTACTTTTAAGGGAGCATTCATCATCAAAATGTCTTTTCTCTATATATTAATATTAAGCTAAAAGCTGTAGGAAAGAAACATAAAACTTGTGATTTGTACATGCTTGCGGTAGTCAAAGGCTGTTCTTAATTCTCTGGTGAGCTTATAAAATTAATTACATAACAAGTTCGGTACTTACTGTATATACTAGAATCTAAGTCATGGGCCTATCATGATTTAGGTGTCAGCAATAGAAAGTGAACTTTAGCTTACTAGGGTAAATTGATTCAGTGCTGTGGAAACCAAGACTGGATAAATCCATTATGGATAAGATTTTATTTTGATAAATCAAACAGTGGTGTACAGTTATTATTATTGTAAAACACTATGTGATTTATCAAAATAAAATCTTATCCATGATGGAGTTATGCCCTACCACAGTGCCCAAGTTTCATACTTATATCAATAAGACTGGACAAAACCAAACATTTTTGCATAGAGTGATATATAGTTCTATATCATGGAAACGATAAGTTCTTTATGCAAGGTATCTGCATCAAGAAAGCAGTTGCATTCATACAGTTATCTTTTCATAAGCTCCCTCTAAATTTACACCAATGAATACCTTGATATACCAGATCTGTGAAAGTTAGATTATCAGAATATAGAAATCTAACTCAGTATACAGTCACTGACCTCACGGATAGGAAAAGTTTGGAGAAAAACTCAGAAAGCTCACTCCATACACTACTTATATGCAGTCACAAAATGGAGTCGGATAGAGCTAACATAGGTAGGTGGATGGAGAAATTGATCACCAAACCTTCATTTATCTAATACGCACCAAACACGTACAATTGAGGCGACATAACTTTAATACCAACAAAAAACAAAATATGAAATAATGGAATTGTACAAACAAAGTTTGTAAGTTATGTGAGTAGTGCCTTGATATGGTCATGGGCGATAAACTGTGCTTAAGACGTCAGTAGTAAACAGTACTGCATCACTGTGCAATTCTCGTCAAATAAAATTACTCTATGATGAAAATCATCTCGAGTCTAGTTAGCACTAGAAATTAGTGATGGTTGCGATTTAAAATTCTTTCTATCAACTGTACTAATTACCTGTCAGTATTATGTCCTCGCATAATGGTGCTGGATAACATCACTGTTCCTATTAATCACTTGTATTTGAATGACTAAAGTTCACTTCGAATGCTTGACAAACACAACAGCGGAATACCACAAATAACTTACTCTCCTTGAAGGAAGTATAGTCACCAACAGAAACATGTTGTATCTTTATAACTTGGTTTTTCACTACCGTAAAGAAATTTTAAATATTGTAAACGAGTCAAGAGTGGTGAGCTTACTTAACATATTCCGACAGAAGACGATTAAGCCAAGTCAGGCAGTACAATTTTAAAACTAAATATGAGGATATTTGCTTAACAGTACATCAGTTGTGACGTTTAAATTTGCTCTGTGATATAAGAATAAAACTTGTGCACTGTGGTAGAGTTTAATTCCATTATGGGTCAATTTTATTTTGATAAAGTCTCATAGTGTTATACAGTAAATGTGCCCTTTGTTTCACATTTGTCAATACAAAGTGTTTCAACCACTAAGCAGAAGATTAGCAGCAAAAAGATTTCAAGTTTCGTAAAACTGTTCTAACTCAACGCTCATCAACTCGAAAGGTGTGGAGTACAACTTGAGTCAAAAACGCATGCAAATGAAAAAACACTGTGTGCGTACTAGAATCTATCCGGAATATATTTCACTTTGATTTAATAAAAGACATTATAAATAAGAAAAGTTCAGAATCAAAGAAGCGTCAAGCCTTGCACTCTTCCTTGAGTAGTGAAAACTTGGAACTCACTGGTTGCAAGCAATGAAAAAGCTGATTTTCCAAGTATGATACTGCTCGGGATTGTTTAACTAAAACATTTAGATGCTCACTCTAATAAACAGGCATACACACATGGTCTGTTCATAAGTTTCGGTGGAGAATTCCTTTTATAAAGGGTTCTTCAATATTTTTGAAACATAACATTATATGTTGTACATAACAGTTTGCTTAATTCCATATAAAATAATCCTATTTATCATAACGCACAATGAAACAGTAATAAAAGAACTAATATTAAGTCGCTGTTGTCACATTGATCTGGAATTATATTCTACCACAGTAATCTCATTCTTTGGCTACATTTGTGGTTTCTATATCTTGTAATTATCTTCTACTGATAATGGAACAATATTTACTCTGATAATAATGCAAACAAAGCCAACAGCTTTATTGTGTCATGAAGTATTTTTATAAAGTACTCTGCTTGCACTAAATTATGAAACTTAATCATTATGCACTAATTCGTGGAAATTAAAACATTTCAGATATAATCAACAGAAAAAACACATCTTTTATGGCTGCATAAAGTGACAAAATTAAAACATCTTTCTATCAGTCGTACATACAGTCAACGGTTCTCTTTACTGATGACTAATACATTCGACTTTGTCATTGTGTCTGAGATTCTCTGTCTTGCTGTTGAAACATGGGTGAAATTGTTAGGACCTTGATTGTTCTACTGAGCCCTTATCATTTGTGGCTTCGGTTACGTAGTTCTGTTTTCTATAAACCACTTTAAACTCACTGGATCAATGACGCCAATCCCTATATTATTCACTAGTACGCTGTTGTATCTAAGTAAATACAGTCACAATTGTACAGAGTTCAAACATAAATTCATTTTCCCGAGAAGTCTCTTTTAAGACCATTAATGGTAACCTAATTAGGCTACATATTACTGAGCAATTATAAAAATCGAAGTACAAGAAGAAAATGTCCTCTAATAATTTTGAAAATTATGATGAAAAAGGCAAGGACAAAAACAAAAATAAAAAAACTTTTTGACGCTTTCAGCACACTGTCGAAGTTTACGAGAAGGCAACAGTTATTAAGAAACACAATTAGTATATATGTTAGCCACTGGAAAACTAATCAGGAATCACTGTTTACCTAACTGCTACGAAAAATCCCCATGAAGAACATGGCGAAAGCTACTGATATTTAATATACTTTAAATGACACTGAAAAATTTCCTCAATGATGCCTGTGTGTACATATTTCGAATTTTAAATTCAGGAAATTGCAAAAATACCATTCTTATAATAAGCAGAGTAACACCATGAAATTACCCTGGCACATGTCCACCTTCTTCTAGGTTTGTAAATGCCTGTCGTTGCTCAAGAGTGGGTCCACCACCGTATTCAATCGAAGTCATGATCACCAAAAATGTTTAACTATCCACGCTATTCGTTTCCCTGTTAATATACTCTTTTCAAAGTTTGATAAATTTAAACAAAACGTTGAAATATACTAAGATATGGGATGAAGTGAGTAAGAAACACTATAAGTACATTTATTAAATCAGTGTCTTAGTTATATAAAGTTCGAATGTCTCTATAACACTAGTTCTGAAGTCTTGTCGTGAAACTTTGGTTCGAACAATCTTTGTATCTGAACCTAGTATTTCGTAGTCGGATATAGGGTTATTGTACTGTTCTTTCTCATCAAAGGCGCTTTCAAAAAGGGAGTAAAGCTGTAGTACTTCTATACCAACTGTAAACATGCTTCTTAATCTACTTTGTATACTCGTGTTATATGTATACACAAATCGGTTTTATATGTACTTCGCAAGCATTTGTCAATTTAATGTTGAACATCACCTTTACACAATTTCGAAATTTGACTACTGCTATGATACACGATCGTACTCTTCGCAAGTGCCTTTTGGTTTTACGTTGTGGGCGTCGAGTAGCCACAACGTCTATGCACACTAATAAAAGTGAAGAAGTACTAGAATATACGTGTGTGCAAGTTTAGTAAAATAACCACGCAATAACACTAGTAGCAGAATCTGACCTGTGAAAAAAGGACAGATGACCAGCTTCAACTTTACCAATGGATGAATCCTTTAGTACCTCTTCAGAGGAGGCTGGAACTCATCGCTTATATGTTGCTCACTAAAATGTTTGTCCGAACTTTCTACACTTCAGCGGCTAATACATGGCATATTTTCGATTGATCCCACTCAATGCCTCTCAATACGACAGTTGTGATTTTTATGCTGTGAAATACCCTGATTCTCTTGCGGAAACTAGGCCCTTTTATTATATTCAGATTCAGATTGTAAGGATAGAAGTCTCTTGTTGCTTATGTTAATCCTCGCGATACATATCTCTGCAGAGATCCGGTTTCTCTTTGATGGAGCTGTTACCACTGAATCAGGTGAGGAGTTCCGGTCGTTGACCACTCTGTGAGAGAATCTAAACTGCAAACTTGTTTTATTTGACCTCGGTTTGAGCACCTTCTTGTGACGACCTCGTAAGTGTATCCTAGAGGGAGAGAAAAGGTTTGAGAGGTCAATCTCTAAATCACCTTTGAATATACGGTAAGCCAAAATTAAGCCGCCTCTCCTCCTTCGGTATGCCAATAGGAAGAGATTTGAATGCTCCATCCCCATATCATAAGGAAGGTGGGAGACACCACTAACTAATTTCCTTCCCAACCTCTGTATTCTTTCCAGGATATGTGCCTCCTTTTTGAAGCATGGACTCGCCGCTTGTATGCGGCACTCTAGATGACGTCTGACATATGTTGCATAGAGTACTTGGAACATACCGTCGTCTAATCGCTTGAAATTCCTTCGAAGTGCCCATAGCATTCGGAAAGCTTTAGTTGCGGCTCATTACAATTTGCTGTTGCTTTTAACTCATGGCTTACAATGATTCCTGAGCCCTTTTTTCCCCTGACATCTGACAGTTCTGTGTCCCCCATGGAGTATGACGTGTAAGACTTCTGGCCTGGGTGTATTACCGCGCTTTTCTTGGAATTAATTTCCAGAATTTTTGGCGAGCAGCTTTTGACCCATGTATGATAGCCTGAATCCTAGACATAAAAGCGATAACTATGCGGTCACAAATTTCTAGCGGCGCCAGGCATCTAATGTTACTGACATCCTCCTTCTGGTGTGTTAGCACCATGTCTAGAGTGGAAGGATCATGTTCAGGGTGGTATCGTGTTAGTGCATTTATATGCTGCACAAGTGCGCATTCAAGTACTGCCAGTATGAGTTCCATGTTGAAACAAGTATACGAAGTAAGTGATGTTAATTCTTCCCAATTAATATGTGGGGCGGCACCTAACGTAAGACACCTATTTTCACTACTCCACATCCTGAAGTGATTTAGAACGAAATCGTCAGCCTGGCTGGTGGGACTTCTATAAATAACCCTAGTCGTCACAGTGCCTTTTTTCAAGTTAATGACAGAACCTGCGGCTTCACAGGTGCCGCTGTCATGAGCTTCCAACAACTTCGACCTAATTCCTGTGTCATCCCGGAAAAATAGATCAGCCTACCCACCTTTGTGACTACTTACTCTGTCCTCTCTGATGTAGACGTACCCAGGTATGAGTGGAGATAAGTCTACACCCACTAACAACCATGTTTCCGTGACAGCGATCGCATCAGGTTATAGTTCCTCAGACAATACTCCTAGTTCAGGAAGCTCATTCCCAAGGCTACAAGCGTTCGTATAACATACTGAGAGACCTACGTGTTCACTCGACTATACAAGCCTCTGGTAACAAGTGGAGTACAACAAGGCTTTATTGTAGTCCCCTTGTTGTTCCTAATATACGTAAGGGAATTGCCAAGGATGTTTACCTCACCTCCATTAAAATTCCATTATAGTACTGAAATGCGGAGAAATGCCGATAATAATGGTGGCAGGTGTACCTAACAAGGTGATCTATTTAAATTAACTTTATGATCTTTAACTTACCATACTGATGAAACCTGTAAACTGGCGTCCCTCAGGTACGCAAAGTGAGAATTTATTATTATTACTTTATCTTACGCCTGAAGTTTAGAAATCAATCGCAGGAAGAGAGTAGTAATATACATAGGCTACAGATCCTAAACCTCATGCTTCCTGAGGTAGCCTGATGTTAAAAGACGAAAGGATAATGGGATTATTGTGGATTGTGACTTGAAAACAAACGCACAAAATGGCAAGCATTTCATGTGGGCTCACGAGTTTATAAGAAAACATTATCGCTATTAATCGACTAAACGCCCAGTTTCCCAATAGGCTAGCCATAGCCCACTCCCAAAGACATGTGAAATTCTGAGCGACGTTCGTGAAGTTTAGGGCATCTCCATCTCGGGAGTCTTATGCCTAGCAAATCGAATCAACGGACACTCCTCAACATTGGAATCAACGGAACGGCGTGCTATGTCGGGAGATTCCGGATATTAAGGGTTGTCAGACGGTAAAACTTCGAAATTTGATGATTCTCAAACCTCTGTGGGTGGATCCTGTTGTAACAACAGAAGATAAGGGCCAGGAAGCAGATTGCTTACTGAGAAAATCAAGAGATATTCATAGATTTTTACGTACATTATTATTCGCTATTTTATCAGAGAAGTAACGTCTTCTGACTGACTGTTTTCCTGATGAGGGCTATTCTTTCATCTCTTTGTTGCCCTTTCTTGGACAGTCCGGTGATATATCTGCTAATTGCATCCACCCACGCTGAGTCTGCTTTGACTGGTTGTTGAGTTCCTTATGGTTAGGCTTTGTTCCTGTTTTTCCTCATGACCAGGATTTGGAAACTCAACATTGACGTAAATTGCCGCCCACCAATTTTGGCTAGCAGACAGCTCTCACCACATGTAAGCACCTAGCTGAACCAATACCTTACTACAGCGGCATCCACAGTTTGCTAAAAATAAAGGCACTGATTTGGGCAGTATCAGTGACACGGATAAACTAGGTGTCATCGCCACATGGCTGACATTCGAAAATAGCTGCAGTGAAGTTAATCTTCAAAACTTCACAATGCGTAGGGTAGCTCGGTTCAAACTCAAGGGGATGGAGGGTGTAGACACCTCAGGCTTTATATAACACTGAGGCTCTCGTGCACGAGAGCGAAGCATGCAAACACTTCCATAGCTCCTTTCGAGGAGGTCGTTAATAACGGTTGGGGGGCAGAATGTCTCTAGGTGAAAATAAGACACCACAAACAGGAAAATGTGGTCATGCACGAATCTCAGAAAAAATATCCTCCGGTGCTTCAAACTGAACACGGATAACGAGTCCATAGAGAAGAACCAGAGATAAGAGAAAGTAGTGGAAGAAAACCTGTCGAAAGTCTACACAGGAGTCGTCATCCCCATAGCATCAGCTCCAAGTTCCAGATAAAAATCTGATAGACTTTGTCGACGCCGACAGTACATCTTATTCCGATATCTTACTGGGCTATACACATGGAAACCGGTATGGGACGAGGACACTCATCCGGAACCTCTCAACGATCTTGCAGCTCACATAGCAGGCATATTGACTACGGTCTTCTACATATCCCCCTTAGGAGGAAGGCAACCCCGAGTGAGAAGGCACCATGGGAAATTTTCACTTCAGAGGTGGGTATATACACTTTCCTTCAGACTACAGTCTTATTAATCTTACCAGCAACATGAAAAGAGCTTGAAAGAATGACTGAGAGAGCTATGATGGCATATCTGGAAATGTCAACCTATTTTCCACAAAATAGCATGGTATATAGGGAAATCTCTAATGACTGCCATACCTATTGGAAGCAAGAGAAATCTGGTCCGAGTCGAAAGACAGAAAGAAACGCACTGACGTCGCCTGCATGGATTTCATCAAAGTCCTCAATAAGTTGTCTCAGACTGCTCATAATGTTGGAAATTGTCGGAAATAAAAGCAGTTAGTTAAACTGTTTAAAATAGTCCCTGATCTTCAGAAGACAAATCCATGGTCAAGTCAAAAGGGTCTTGTACCACTATGGGCGGTGTGTTGAGCATTTATCAGAATCACCGGGGATGTGTTCACCCCTTCACATGCGCCACCGGCGAGATCAAAACCGGTAAGCTGTATCCAAGCAGCCATCCCCTGTCTCAAGGGGAACCGATACATCTTGATAAAGGTACGTAGGAAGGTAGAAAGTGTGATTCCTGGTACAACCAAATTCTGACACGTGTATAGACCTAGCCTTTCGAACCTCTTCTCCATGCCATGTCTTAATCAGAAATGATGGCTAGAGTGTTGATGTTCACGAATAGTACGAAGTATAGTAATACAAGATGTCAGCCACGTCTCATAATCTGTTAATGCCCAGCTCTTGCTACGCTCGGGCTCACGCTGTTCCTTGAAGTTTCTCAGAAACGCTTGGTAACAACGGACAAAAAACCAAAACACCAATTGCTGACTCGAGGATTCTTTAACAATTCGATGACGCCTGTAAACTGGCGTCCCTCATGTACTGCACCATGAGAATCAATCTATCTATTTAATTATTGAAATGAAATAAACATTTCTCTGAATTCAAAATAACACATCAATGAACTATAAATCAAGGATTCTGTACACAACAAAATTATGTATGAAAACTGACTTCAAGCTTTATTTTTTTTCCCAGGCAATTATAACCCATCCACCGAAGACCTGGTTATTTTTGTTAATGCGAAGAC